GACCCTTACAGTTCCGAACAATAAACCCGTAAATTTTATAACAATTAGCAACTAAGTTAAGAATGTGTTCGTTAAAAGTCAGTCCACTGCCAAACAGCACCCTAAGGTCAGAGCACTTACGTTCGGACATCAACGGTTGATTGGCCAAGTAACATGCACAGTCAATTGTGTTTAATTTTTTAGAAAATGTCATGGTAAAACCTTTAGAAATAATAAGTGATAGACGGTTGCTAAGGCACCAATGCTCAACACGAATCAGGTTTTCGACCGAGGTTGGATCCCTGGGGAACCCCTGAATTTGGAGTAAATCCTCTGGAAGTGAAGCCGCCGTAATTAACAAATTGCTGCCGACCTAGCAAATAAGATTTCATTAACGACAACAGAGGAGCACTTAATCCAAAGTTACTCAGCTTTTTCAATCAAATAAAGTGATCCAGCTGATCAAACGCCTTCCGAAAGTCGAGATACACAGCATCTACCTGCCCTCTAGCGTCGATTACATCAGCAACAAATTGGGCGAAGCATGTCAGATTGATGACAGTGGATCGACCACAAACAAATCCGTGTTGGCCTGGGATTATGTACTTGGTTAAATGATATGAGATGTGCTTGAAAAGCACGCTTTCAAAACTCTTCGAGAAACCACACAGCAGCGATATAGGTCTGTAATTCACAATCTCAGCAAGGTTGCCCTTCTTCAAAATTGGACAGACGTATGACTCTTTCCATAACGACGGAAAGGTAGAAGTAGACAGGACCAGATTGAAAATCGAATGCAATGGGGCGGCCAGAATCGAAGCACAGTCCGTCAGTAAAAAGCTCGGTACCCCATCGACTCCAGCAGTAAGAGTATTCTTTGTACGCTTCAACGCATTCTCAACCTCCTTCAAGCTGAAGCTCTCCACTGACAAGGACTATGATCGGGGAAATCAGACTCCACAAAAACAGGATCAGATTGAATATAAACGGACTCAAAATAATCAGCAAAAGCATCCAATTTATCCAATTTATCATTGATATAGAATACATTTGTTTTAATCATATTGTAAAATAAGTGAACATTCTCTAAGGTGGGCGATATAGGTAAACCTAAATTATCTAAATCTTGATTAATATTATTAAGTTCGTAAACTAAACGTAACGGTGCAATAACGGACGGGTGAAGGAAACCATTAATAGCTAAAACAATTCCATCTAGAAGCTTATCTTGACTATTACTAAACATAGTAATAAACGCACTTAAATTAATTTTTAGTTCCTGAATATGAAGAATTAATTTATTTTTGATTTCTGAAGTTGTCCGATTTCTACTGAAATCATTTACAAAAGATTCTATTTTGTTAATTCTGTCTTTAAATTGTTGAAATTCAATAACGTTACTTGAAGAATTTAGAACTTCTACAGTACTTTCGATTACGGAAGTCTGTTCTTTTAACAATTTAATTAAATGATTTTGATTTGTTTTTGATTTTGTGGTCTTGGAAAATTTTGAACGGTTGAGATTTTTGATGGATCAGGCATGATTCCATTTTCCGAAATTACATGACCTAAATAATTTATTTCACGACGTAAGAACGCACATTTGCTAGGCTGTAGCTTTAGGTTGTGCTCACGCAATCTTTCAAAAACAGAGATTAACTTTTCATTGTGATCGCGTAATGAATTTCCATAGACGACGATATCGTCCAAATAAACAAAACATTTAATTCCTTGAATCCCGGTCAACACATTATTCATTAATCTATGAAAGGTTGCGGGTGCATTTTTTAAACCAATTGGACATCTTTTGAATTGAAAATGGTCATAAAATGAGAATGCAGTATACGGTTTACTCTGGTTGTCTAAAGGAATTTGATGAAATCCCGTTGCTAAATCGATTACACTAAAATATTTCGAATTTCCTAATTGCTCTAGGATTTCTGTTATATTGGCTAACGGTAAAATCTACGACTAAACGCCATCGTTTATTACCTTGACTATCGGGCTTTTTGGGAACTAAAAGAATTGGGGAATTGTATGGTGATTTGCTAGGTTCGATTATATCATCTTTTAACATTTAAGTAATTTGGTTTTGAACTTCAGTCTGCTGAGTTTGTGGAAGACGATATGGCTTTACAAAAATGGATTTGTCCCTGGATAAATTGAATCGGTATGTGTTAAGACATCATTCTTTAAGTGAAAAATATCACAAAATTGGTGACAAATATCTAGAATTGACTTTCGTTCTTCGTCATTTAAATGTGTGGTAGGAATCTGGTTTGTTAATTCTTCAATGCGATTATTAAAAGGAGTAGACGAAAATGTTAAGATGTGATAATTATCAGGTTTATCAAACTCTAAATTTCGACAATCGATCACTTTATCTTCTTGAGTTGAATTTAAAATACTTATTTTATATAAACCATTAACATGTTGAGCAATAGAATTAGCAATATAAACTCCGGGAAGTATTTCCTTTTGTAAGCAGATACTTAGCTGATCATTTCGTGCGGGAATTTTAGCGATATATTCAAATCGGGCTGATACAGTGACTTGTAATGGACACGATATCGGAAATTGAAAATTAATGTCATTCAATTTTAAGGAAAGTGTTAAATTTTCGTATCAGATATTTGCTTTGTGTTTGACAAAGAAATTGCGACCGATTATACCGTCAACAGATATGGGAAAATCCTTTGGAACAATGTGTATCGGATTCATAATTTTATGAGTTTCAGAAATGTTAAATACGCCCATTGCTAAACCCAAGGAAGATACAGCATCTTTCGTTATACCACGTAACATTACTGTTTTATCAGTGTATATTAAGGCATCATCATCCGTGGATGATAATTTTAGAATGGTGACATCAGAACCGTTATCGAGATACATTTTAGCAATCTTATTCGCCGCTAATTGAAGTGGTAAATCAACACAAGTCGTGTTTCCCTCAGTGCATTGTATATTAAAAACATGATTTTGATTAGAAATTGAAGTTTTAAAAATAGTAGAATCAGAGATAGTAGAATTAGAAGCAGAGCTCATTAACGGGGAGTCATTGGCGGAATTTGCAGAATTAATAGTTGGGCATGAAATTGTAGAAGACAAGTGTTTTATTTCATATCGCGAGCTCGAGTTACTGTGCCCGACGTACTCGGCTCTTGGTCGTTTCCCGACTGAAAATTTCTTGGAAGTTCGTTTTTATTGTCGGTATAACTGTTCTGAAAATTTTGACTACGATTAAAATTCGATCTGAAGTTGGGATTAGAATTTGTTTGTTTTTACGGATTCTGTGGATTGTTTCGAAGAGAGTTATTATATTGACGTTTCCTACACTGGTTTATGGTATGACCTAAGTGTTTACAATAATTACAACTAATTTGGTGAACATTTGCTTAGATTTTCACATTTGGGTTGCGATTTGGAAATGATAATGGACTTGGACTGGAACCTAAATTTGTTTTGCATTGATTCGCTCTATGATTCAATTTTCCACAACGAAAACATTTAACTTTACTCGCGAAACTTGATCTGTTTGTATTTAAAACGCTCTCTTCTTCGCAAGCTGCTTCGACAGCGTCTTCGAACTTATTAAATCGGCTGGTTTCAATAACTAACTAAATTGGATCTTTTAAACCTTCTACAAATGCTTTTAAGGCAGATTTTGCATTTAAATTTCTAACAANCACTGTGCTATCTATGTTTTTTGTTATAAATATAGATTCTAAATTTTTTCTATTTAGTGTATTTCCACTAGTTGATAATACTTTTGGGTTATCAAAATTAAAACTTTTGTTGAGGGTTTTCGTTGTCACCAATTTTCTTGGCAATTAAACAACTTTTTCCTTAACTAATTTATTTTATTTTTTAACGAGATTAGGCACAATACGGTGGCTTGACCATTCGACGATGTCAATACTGGTTCTACAATAACTTAACTCTAATTCTAATAATAATTCTTTGTTCCTCCCTTATAACCTCACTTATAACTTAATCCCTTCTTTAACTTTTGCAACTTGGTGGTCTGACAATTTGACCAATGAAAAAGCTTTTATAATGAAATTCTGAGAAATGCATTTCAAGTCCGTATGCGTAAACGTAAGCAAAATTTGAAACAAAGAAAAAGTGTAACCTGATATTTATTTGTTGCAAAAATTACGAAGTTATATTAAAATTACGAAGTTTTATATTAAAATTACGAAGTTAGATTAACAAGGATTAACGACAAGTAATAATAATACATTTTAAACTAAAACGAAGGGTGGATTACAACATCCCTCCCCCCTTATTTTTGATAATTGTACCGCGGGTTAGTGGTACAATTTTCAATTTCGATTTCTTCTGTTGCGGCTGATAATTCTATATCTTTATTTTGAATATTTTCCTTAATTCTATTTCGACGATACAGCGTATATTTAACATATATAAGGTAAACAATAAAAATAATAACGATAAAAACAAAGAAAATTCCTATACCAAAATTAACATGATGAAAATATGACGGCGATGAAAGAGGATAATTGGCTTCTATTGCTAATGAATTTATTTTATTACTGATTTTTTGTAGTTCGGTAACATCTGTGTTTGATATTACGAGTGGATTGGTTAATACAGGTAAGTATGAACTTTTTACATAGGTTTCTAAATTTGAAATACTATCAAAAGAATGTAACAAATTCAAAGGTGGTAAGTACGAAGTGGTCTTTTTTGAACAAAATTTCTTGTGTGTTTTTAAAATTAAAGAATTTGTATACGCCGAACAATTTGGATGTAATGTTAAAATTCCGGTTTTATTTAAGGTAACTGATATTCGCTCAGTACCTGGTGTACAGGATATATCTATGTGTTTTGTTTTAGGTACTGCGTAAAGCCATGAATTAATTGAAGATAATTGAATAAATAGAGAATTTCGCAATTGCATTACTCGTTTATCGCAATTATCGGGAATGTGCGACGTAGGCACGAATAGACTCGCTTCGCAGCCTCCGTACATGTGAACTAAGTAAATTGGTTTCGCTTGCTTACAGACGTAGATAGCTGAACCCTTTGTGCACGCTTGCAACTCTTGCAAATTCATTTGGAAATAATATTGTTTAAAGGCGTCAATGATTAGGTAAGGTTCTTTTGATGCTATGAAGATGTAATTTGAATAGTTTAAAGCAATTGGTGCGCTAGTAACCTTCACGACATCATATTCTCGAGATTCTATCAGCGGGATTAGAAGCACGAAACTTAATTTATTATCATAAAAATAAACGTTGGTGTCGATAAAATTATATAACTCATGAATACGCTCTACGGTTGGATTTACGGGAAAATCAAATCCATTTAGATAATTATGTAATCCGGTTAATAGTGTTGATAACTCTTTAGGAGTGATAACCAAAGGATGTAAAATGCCCTTTTGAGCTAGAATTATAATGTTCAACAAATTATCCTGATTTGATATCATAGATGTTAACAGTATTTCATATGAAGATTCAATTTGTTCGAGTACGATCGTTTTCGCGTTAATAGCTGTTAAATTTTTACTAAAATCGTTTACGTATTGTGTTATGTTGTCTAAACTGTTTTTGACGTTCGCGAAATTTGAAGATGACTGAAGAATATGAATGGTATTCTGAACTATACTTATTTGTTGTTTAAGGAGATTGTGTAAATGTTGTTGATCGTTTTGAAGCTTAATTATTTGAGAATATTAATATTCGGCATCGTTTTGATCTAAAGTTCCGAAAAGAGTTTTCGAAACTGTTCGCGTTGAGAGTTCTTCTCCCAACATGTTTAATATAACCTTATGTTTGTTAGTTAATTGTTCCATGACATATGATAATAACTTTTTTAGGGAAGTTCCACATTGGAGAGGATATTGGGTTACGGTTTTGCAAATTGACAATAATTGTTGATTATAAAATTGGATAGAATTGAATTCATCATGATATTGTTCTAAGTCTAAGTAAGTAACTAATTTCCATTCAGCGTTTGATAATTTTAATTTGTTTAACTCGTAGTGTAATCCAGAAGTAGTTTCAAGAAGAGTGTTGTTATAGTAATGAGTATTACCATTTACCTCGCCATGGTAAATAATGAAAATCCAAAATGGAAACCAAGTTAGAAGTGACATATTGGATGGAAACCTGGAACAACATAATTGAGTTTTTATTGAGTACGCTCAATAAATTTCTTTAATCGGTTAACATGAACTTTTGTGTTTTTATTTTTGACCTTTATAGTGTAATTTACATTTGAATTTCTTTTTGTTATTTCATAGGGACCAGTGTATAATGGAAGTAATTTTTTAGATTTTCCTATTGGTTTTGTCTCGTTTGATAGTAGTACCTTGTCACCTACATTGAAATGGATATCTTTGGCGTTTTTGTCATATTGTTCTTTAGCGGTTTCTTTAGCTCTTAGCAATGTTTCACGGGCATTGCATGTGTATGTTGCAACCGAGATTTGAGCTGTAGACGGTAAGATCGCCTTATGTCCGAATAACAATTCAAACGGAGTAAAACCGGTAGATGTATGCGGAGTAGTGTTATATGTGAATGTGGCAAACGGCATGAATTCGTCCCTGTTATTCATGTCTTTGTTGATGAAATTTCTAAGATATTCGGTTAGAGCTCTATGACTTCTTTCCAGACTTCCGTTACTTTGCGGATGGTAACTAGTCGTTTGGATACTTNAATAAAAGACAGTTTTCTTCTAATTATATTAACTTTAACTTTATTTCCAGCACTCTTCGTGTAACGTACCCGTTCGATCAGTAATTACAATAGATTGCAGTTAGTGATGATAGATGATTTTGCATTCAATGTTTTATAATAGTTCCGGGCACGTGATTGTGACGATACAATCGACCAATCCCAGAATGACATATAAAATAATGAGTTCAAGACCATCGATATCAGAATCAGCAATTTAGCAATGAAAACAATTATAGTAACCAATTCTGATGACGTTGCTATTTTACACAATTTAGTAAACAATTAATTGTATAAACAAACATCTATGAACTAGAAAATATTATAAACAATTCTATTAAATTGATGGGTGTAAAGGGTGCTTTACAACACATTTAATACTTTTGCATGCATTGAAAAGTCATCTAAGAGATGACATGCGACCACTCTTGTAGCAACAGGAGGCGCGACTACTGGAGTGTTAAATAATTTGTATTAATAAACGTTGGCTTCATAATAATTAAAGTAAATATCGTCTGTCATTTGAAAATATTGGTTATTAAACATGAAGAAATTCTGACTACATACTAATTCAAGTAGGTTGGATAGGGCTAAAATGTTTACAAATTTAAGTTGCAATTCAGTACGCCTTTCAATTAAGACTGTAGTCTCACGGTCACAGAGTTTTTGAGGGGCCCAGGAGACGGACGTTCGGAAGCAAGAAGACGGGACTTATTTCTCCATATGCCCCGCCCCTTACAGATATCGATTTTTTGCTGTTCTCAATCTATTTATCTTTTGCCCAAGCAATCCGTTTCAATTGAATGTGTTTATATTACTCGTTTTTTATGGAGAATATAGAAAAAGACGGAAATACGGGAATAGTAAGTAGCGTTTTCATCAGTAAATATCTAATAGAACAAGGATTTTGTGGATTATGCAGATGAACACAAATCAAAAATTTTATGTAAAACGCGGTACTGTAAAGACAAATAGTGGTTTGTAACAAATATTGTCAAGAAATTTACCGATAAATTGTACACAGTTGAGAAATGTACACAATTGTAGAAAATAATAGACAAAATTAATTTACTAATAGATAATTGGGAGTAAGAAATACCAAAAAGGTCCTTACTCTTTCAATGCGAGGTTATAGGAACAAAAATTTTAATAGAGCAAGATCAAGAAACGGTTGAATCTTTACTTTTATTGTTATATCTAGGGTGTTTTATTTCTAATAGTTAAACTCCTAGTGTGCCGTGGATCCACCAATTCAGGCAACATGTTGTCAAAATAAAATTTTTTCAACTTTTCTTTCATTTTGTCGTTCCAAAAATTAGGATCTTTAGAAATCTAAAAAAAATAGTAATATAAACAATGATAATATTAAACATTTGTTATTGTATCTTTATACCATTTCTATCTCGATACCATGTGGTGTCCATACAACAAAATAACACGAATTGCAACGTGTTATATGTAATAGTCCTTGAATTTGGAAGTAGTAATCGTGACCTCTATTTAAAACCATTTTATTATTTATAAGTTTACAAAATTTAATTATCCCTTCTTCTGTTGCCGCTCTTGGCGTTAATTTCTTTGCTGAAAAGGGACATTTGATTTCACACAAGAAATCCTCCCCTATTAGCCCATCTGGTTATGCAGCTAAATAACAGTCCGTCTTATGAATAAACAAACCACACGGCAAAACATTTACTTGTCGTTCGTTTTCAAGTTGTTGCCTAGCGATAGGTTCTTTTTCAATGCCATATTGCATTGCTATTGTCGGATGAAAGGATTGGTAAATTAAATATTTGACAATATTTGATGGATTAGTACTCTCCCTCTTCTTACAAATTCTTCCGAAGTTGGAAGCTGTGAGCCGCTTACTTCTTTCCTCGTACCAAAGCTGACTATTGGAATGTCCCGCTGTCCTAATTTCTATTTCCGCTAACTCGTCTTCCGGTTTGTAAATATTTCATAAAAACGCTTCTTTTTTAGCGGCGTATTTAGCGGGCGACATATCTGGTATCAATTCATCTAAACCGTAATTTTCATTAACTGGTTGCACTGCTACTTTACGTCTCTGTTGGAAAATTTTACGTTTAGAAACACGCCCTGAATTTAATTCGGAGTATCTTTGAGTGTATACTCCTAAATTATTTCCAGATAATTTTTTATGAATACTTTTAATTGCTTCTCCTTTGGTGTTGTATGAGATAGCTGCTACATTACACCTCAAATTGTAACCAAATCTTCTACAATAATTAATTCGTTTACCTGCCACATACTTTGCGATAACGAAATTGTAACATTCCGCCACATTTCTCGACATATTTGTTAATAAACTGTGTGCATTGAAAATTAGACGGTTCACGAATGAATTGATTTCATCATCTAACCCACAATTTTTTAATTCTTCTATCCAATTACATTCGCCTAATTGTTGGCGTTTACAAAAGTATGTTTTGCAATTGGAATGATCACCAAATACATGATGTACACTATTTGCAAGGTCTTGCGATAAGAGCCTTACATTTTTATGGAGTGCCCTATATTTAGCAGCAGATAGAGCAGCCGTTCGAAGCCTACGGATATTGTTTTCTACTAACTTCCTTAACAGGAACGTTGAACAGGAACGAACGTAACTGAATTTTCGTCCACTTATTTCTTTTAATCTTACGCAATAATTCCGCAAAAGATGATTAGAGCATTTAATCCTTTGTACCAATTGCTTCCCGTAGGGTCTTACATTTAGAAATTTTCGGTACACACTGCTGTCCCCATCTCCTACCAATTGCTCTTTTTGAAGCCCTCTGCAATTATAGATGCTTCCATCCCTGTAGAAGGCCGATTAAAATTTTTGGTACATGCGTGGGGTTTAGCTTCAATATTTAGAGCGGTTGCTCTTTCACATATAATACAAAATTTATTTCTTATTCCCTAAAAGATTATTTTTTTTGTTCGCATCCCTATTATGCAGGCCTAAGAATGAACAGGATTTACTCAATCATTTTATAATGATACACGTTACAAGCGTTTGGACCAAACACCATCAACAATAACCGTTAATAATGGAACACCAAATTTATCTATGTCGCCATTTTCCTTTGCTAATTGTACTTCTTCGTTACCTGCTTTTTCTATTTCACTCCAAGTACATTCTCCAACAACTGTGTGTAAATCTTCTTGATGTTTATAATATAGACGCTTAGATATAGGTGGTATGTTGAGTGAAGCTGTTATTTCACTCAGTTGTTGGAAACCATTTCCAGACATAATAGTACCAGAAACAGCCGCCATATTAACATTAGGTTGACTAAAAGGATTTTCAGAGTACATTTCTAGTTGTGATTTAGCTTGCAAAGCCGTCTCTATTTTCTTTAACAAACTGTAAATTTGCTACAGTACAGTTATATAACGCAACGTGTTTATGTTCAATTAGTTGCTTTACTATGTAACCCACATCCACAATACGGCGACCAGTCGACATTGCACTATAAAAATAATTCTTCTATTAAAATATGCGATCACTATGTTTTTATTACCCTCATTTTATTGATTACTTATATATGATTACCTGTACATTATCATGTAATAATTCTAAAATGGGAGAAGTGTTTATTGGTAATTGAGGGGAGGGTTGATTTGGAATAATCTGATCTATTCTGTAAAAAATGTTATATGTAGTTAATTCTCATAATTATTTATATCTTATAATATTCACATACCCAAAATAAATAGCAACATTCTCAGCTACAGGGATTTCTATTCACTCACTATGTGATTGAATAATTCTACAAATGTGCGAAGAAAAATGTCAACATGTACTATCGGCTTCGGGGAAATTATAATAAATCAAGAGTATGATAAAGATTTGCCTTCGCGAGGCTCTACTGGCTTGAATCGCTCTCTTCTTTTTTGATTTCAATTTACAAAACGACGTTTTAGTTTTACCCATATTTTACATACAATATTTATAAAGTCACTGTCTCAAACTTAAATCACTAATCACTAATTAAACACTAAATCTATACACTAAACTAAACTATTCAACCAAAGGACCGAAATACCAAAACCATAATTATCCTATATACATAAACCGTTCAAAACAGGAAATCAGTCGTAATTTAAAATAAAATTCGTATTTTTTGTATTTTTATTTAAAACCATTTTTAATACTAAACCAAAATATTTATTACTACTAAAAAAAATTAATAATAGTAATGTTTAGGAAATTAATAATTGAAGTTACCTAGTTCAATGGCGGACCTAATTATAATAAAAAATAAATAATCAGAATTTAATTCGGTTACCTTAAACTATACATTTATATAGTATTCAGCTTCACCTACTTATATAGTTTTATTTCAAAGCAATTGAAACAATGCTATTCATACGAAATGGTCGAAATATACGATAAGATCGTAAACGATGCAATGTAAATAAACAGACCGCTCGCACAATCTGTTTGGCCACACCATGCACCCTTTGAGGGCGCAGCTAAATTGAAATTAGCA